GGGTCAGGGCCGAGGGAGCGGGCGCTGTCGGAGGGTTGAACATAAATAACGGATTTGTTCTCCTTCTCTTCCTTCATTCCTGTCTCTCCTCCTCTCTTTATTTCTTTCTCTCTCTCCATCTCTCCCTCTCACTCTCCTGCCGTCTCTGTCCCCCTCTCCTCCCTGTCCCCCCCCCGGGGGTGGGGGTGGTATCCGTGGGGTGCCCCCAGGTGCTGATCTCCGAGGGCCTGGAGCTCTGTGCCCGTGATCCCAGCTTCGTGGCCTTGGCCAAGCAGGAGTTGGCCGATGCCTGTGACCTGACGGTGGAGGAGATGGAGATCGCGGCGTGCGACCTGTTGGGGCAGCGCGGGAGGGGGCCGCTGTTCGCCCGGGACGTCGCCGCCCCCTACAGCGACGAGGAGTCGGTGCGCGGAGCCGCTGAGGAGGAGCTGCTGGATGAGATGACTTGCAGCGGGGCCTACTAGATTTTCCGAAGACATCCCCCCCGAGCCATCTTCAAACGCGTGACCCCCCCCCACCGAACCCTCCGCCTTTTCCTCTGCCGCACACATCCCGCACCCACCCCACCGACAACCAAAACACAAACCCTAAAACGTCTGGCCGCAGGGCTCCAAACGCTAGGCTAGGCCCTTCCTAGGCCCCAGGCTATCCCCACCGTGTGTCTGCTTCTGTTTCTGGTTTCTTTTTCTCGTTCTCTTTATTTTCCATCTTCGATTTTACCAGCCTCTTGTCGAAGAGCTCGGTCACAGCAAGGGCGTGGGCAGCCATTCGTCCCCAGGAGCACGGCCACGAGTAGGCCCCAGCAGCACGGACTCAAATAGGCCCCAGCAGCACGGACTGGAGTAGGCCCCAGCAGCACAGACCCAAGTAGGCCCCAGTAGCGTGGCCTCGAGTAGGCCGCAGTAGCGCTGCCGCGAGTAGGCCCCAGTAGCGCGGACTGGAGTAGGCCCCAGTAGCGTGGCCTCAAGTAGGCCCCAGCAGCACAGACTCGAGTAGGCCCCAGCAGCACGGACCTGAGTAGGCCCCAGCAGCACGGACCGGAATAGGCCCCAGCAGCACGGACCGGAATAGGCCCCAGCAGCACGGACTGGAGTAAGCCCCAGCAGCACGGACTCGAGTAGGCCCCAGCAGCACAGACCTGAGTAGGCCCCAGCAGCAGGGACTGGAGTAGGCCCATGTCCCATGACGGAGCATTTAACAAGAAGGCCTGTCAAGTTGGACATTGTTTCTTTATTTCTTTGTCTTTCTGCCTTTATATCGTGTGTTTTGGTTTTTTTTTGCGGTTTAAGA